TGGCTTGAATACAGAATTTTATTCCTTTTTGACTCTAACTTGTATTATTAAGTACAATTTTACTCCTGCAGTTTCTCTCTCTTTAAATATGGAACTAGCGGAGGGTTGAGTGTTTGCGAGCGTGATGTTCTGGAGGAAGGACGAGGCCAAAAGGATGGACGAAGGCACAGAGGTTTGAGGCAGGGCCCGGGGTCATCGTCAGGGTTATCTGCCGGGTACAAACGGTGTGATCCAAGGCTCAGCGTGGCTCCTGACCACCCTGCAAGCTGAAACAGAGAGAAAACACCCTCTAACCAGCTGTCGCGTGGTGTTCTTATGTACCAACATCAACATGAATAAACTCAGCTGTCCATCAGCAATGTGACTGCAAGAAATGAACGTAAGGACTCCTCTGAAATGATATGAATAGATTTGAAACATTTAGCACAACAATTGGAAAAAAAATCCCTTCTGATTAAACAACAGAGTAATGTAAAATGCTGCAGTGTGAAGGAGAGCAGCAGTGTGCCTGGTAATTGCTTTAAGTCATATTTTAAGGAAGAAATTTCAAATCTCTGCTCAAAAGACGAAGCTTCTATTCTTATCGCGTAATGAACAATTCATAGAAAACAGGATATTCTAATATTCTTTCATTGTTTAGACCAAACTAGAAAATAATCTCCAGATTAATTGATAAGAAAAAGATGATTAGTTGCACTCGTGGAAGCAGGAACAAACGCGAACACTCTGAGGCTGTGTGATCTGTCGCCACAGGATTTTCTTCATTTTCCGTCAGTTTTCGTTAAATACTTTAGGAATCTGAAAAATATGTGTATTATTTTCCACGAGAAAGAAAAACAACACCTTTATCTCCCTGAATAAAAAAACTGCATTAATTTAACGCTGCACCTTGTTCCACAAAGTCAACAAAGTCTGCGGGATGCAGGTAAGTTGTTTTTTTTTAATGTCATCGATAATGATCAATAATTTAACATCAATAGGAGCGTTTTGGACCTCTGCAGTCAGCTTTTGAGGGCGGACGGTCTTTTCTTATTGGCAAATTGCCATTTTGTTAATGCTTTAGCTGCATAGGCACATATTGCAGCAATGGAAACATTGCGGTTAATGAATTACACGGGCACGTTAGATGCTCGTGTTATTTAAGACCAGCGCTTTCACTTTATTTGTTATATTAGAGCAATAAGCCTATATATTTAAATGCTTGCAAGGGAAAAAAAAAGCCGTTTGCTGTGAGATTATCCTCTTTAGTTCAAGCTGATAAAAACAGTTAATGGCTCAAATCTTCATTTTTTTTTCTGCCCCTTTAATTTGTGTAAAATTTCAGTGTGTAAACTGATTCCAAGTACGTTTAAATCCCACTATTTATGCAGAGAATGTAGTAAGTATTTACTGAAACTTGAGAGCACATCAGCCAATAGCGCTGCCATCTCACCAGACCATCTGAGTGTGTGTGTGTGTGTACATACAATGAAACCTGATTCGCTTGAGTGTGTATGC